GGTCCTTCAGCATGCTGGGGTTGACATAGAGGCTGATGTCATCCTTTGGACACACAGCTGTGGGTCAGCACACTGGTCACAACCATTAAACACACAAATGTTTATAAACACAAGGTAATAAGACCAAATAAATAAATAGTGTGTGACGTTTCGGAAACACAGTTGTTACCATCTTTATACAAAAGTACTGAATGCAGTTGTTAACTGTGGTGTATTTGCATATCCATAATTCAATATGCAAATACACCACACCATTTGCATATTAAATTATGGATATGCAAATACACCACATTAACCATTCAGTACTTTTATCTGAAGATGGTAACAATGCTGTTACCGCAACGTCACACACTATTTTTTTATTTGGTCTTATTACCTCGTGTTTATAATCTATAATCCAAATTGTGCATTATCTATATTAATAAAATGCAAATTTCATAAGTGTTGTTCACTAAAAACTTTCGTTACAATGCATCAATTTCGACCAAATTTTCAACATTCATGTAAAACGAGATGGAGCAGGTTTTGCTTAACATCAAAATATTTTTCCTAACTTTAACATGCGTAACTTCGCTGTTATCGATTAAATACAAAAAAAAAATCAACAGAGTTAATTTTATTTATATATAAATACAAAAAAAAATTCAGCAATTCATTCAACTCAATCTAAAAAAATATTCAAAACAAGCAATTTTAAGATAACACCATATGTAAAACAGTCGGCCAAGAAAACAACAACGATATTACATCTTTCTCACATATTGACACACAATCTTGATTAATAATTAAAACTAATCTTTAACATTGTTTATTATACTTCATAATATATAATATTTGTTAGGCAAACTTTCACTCGGATAAAACCCGGGCGAAGCCGGGTACACATCCGCTAGTCATTAAATATAAGTGTTTCTTTTCCAAATAAAACAAACTTAGGCCCAACGTCCAGAAACATGTATGCGGTTAGCTTTTCAAGAATGGGTATTTGGCCAATTCTGGAATAATTAAAAATCAACAAACAGTTGATATTTATTCTGACATATGGGGCACAAACCATCAGCAACTTTTAATTACACAATCAGGAGATGCCCTTTTTTTTAAAACTTTACACTGTCCTTTCTGCAATGAAAACAAATTTTGGGAGGGCTTGGCTCATCAGTCATAAACCCTCTCGGCTTTTTCGTCAATTTAATCCACCAGACCACTTTTTGGAGCTCTTTTTTTTTTTTGCTTATCCCTAGTACACGTGGTACAGGCCATGATGATCATGGTGGGTAGAAGTAGGCGATTTTTTAGAGTTCTAATACTGTATAAGACAATTCTGCTTATATACCTGGCACAGAAGGGTGGAATCTTAGAAATGGTTTTTAAGCAGACCATAGACTGTCCTAAGATTTTAGGACAGTTTAAAGTAGTCTATAATAGGTAACAAGTTTTTCTCCTGAATTACTGACTGATGAGAGATTTGTGTCTACACCAATACCTCATTTTGCGTTTTTTTCGAAGTTGCGTCGCTGCTTAATTTTTACTGATTTTTCACTGTGCGTCGTTAGATTTTCGAAGTTGCGTTGTTTTGGATTCGAGTCTTTAATTTTTTTTCCTAAACTATGGCAACACCTTTTGTTTTTGAATGCGCCTTCACATATTTTCACTTTGCGTCGTGTTTTTTTGGAACGTAACCCCGAAGCAAAGCGAGGTATGGGTGTAGTCTATAATATGTAACAAGCTTTTCTCTGAATTACTGACTGATTTGTGTCTACTTGTAGTACAGTAGTCTCCCATGAGGAACCATAGCAGACAAACAAGTCTACAACCACTCTGTCTAGGTTGAAAGACTCCTCATGACTTGGCCTGATAGAGTATCCGTGTTTTTATACTAAGATCTCTCATAAGAGACTTTGTGTTGTTTTATTGATGATTGACAGACTTCTTCTTTTAAATGTATTATTTATTATACATACATTACAATAAGAAAACACAATAAATACAAAAGATAATAGTGGCTATATATTTAATAGGCTAATCCCTTAATAGAATGTTCAAATCAATAAGCTTGAGGGATGAGTCTCTTTAAATCCCTCAAGCTTATTGATTTGAACAGTGGCTATATATTTTTTAATCAAGTTTTGTTAGTCACTTTTTAACAACAACAACTTTTTATTAGGTTATCATCATATCCAATCTCACAGAATATATATATATATAATAATAAATAGTTGTTTAATTTTATAGTCCAGTTTTGTTTTAAAATTATCTTCACTATTTTGATCAATTAAATTTAAATTATAAAATTTGTAAATAGTTATTATTTAGTTTTTTTTTTTTTTTTTCTCTCTCTCTCTACTAAATAATAACTATTTACAAATTTTATAATTTAAATTTAATTGATCAAAATAGTGAAGATAATTTTAAAACAAAACTGGACTATAAAATTAAACAACTATTTATTATTATAATTAATTTAGATTTAGCTTGCTAATCTAATCAAATCTACTTGATATGAGTTATCATTCTTATCAGTCTGCTCCTTTAGTTTTAAATTTGGAATCACTGTTATAATTTTGTTATATAGTTTTTACACTATATATATATATTTTTTTTTTTTTATAAGATTAAATATTCCAACACTTTGCCGTGCCATTTCTGCAGTTCAGCAGGAAGAATATCGCGTGCATGACAAAAAAACAAAAGGAAAGATAACAAGAAGACACACAGAGGTTGTTATATCTCTCCACCAATGTATATATCTGTCGTTACCTATTTACATATTGTCTTCCTTTGTTGACTTTCTAGCCTCTGGCACAAGTCTACCTAATGAATTGTCACTATAGCCATCCGTTGGCAGCAAACCTACGGATTGATACGACTGGAACATTGTGGTTCTTTAAAGTGGAAATTGTGTTATTTCAAACTGGAAATTGTGTTATTTCAAAATGGAAATTTAAAGTGGAAATTGTGTTATTTCAAAGAAGTGAATTGTTGAGAGACCAGGAAGAATATTCCTTATTCTTTAACATGGTCCCTGATTGGAGGTTCTTCTCTAGCTTAACCAGACTTTGTACTCTGCGGATATTCACTCCAATTTGCATAGAGAAGTGTCCAGTTTGGTTGTCACACAGCTGACACAGAGACTTGGAGAATGGCCGCTCACAGACTGGCAGTTAGCCAGATCTCTCCTTGAGAACGGGTAGCTTCAATTAACCAAGTTCTCTGGTCGGGTTAATTGGTTCTCTTAGTCTTCTACTATGATCACGGTGGTGACACCTCTCAACTCACTGAATGTTAGGAAGGCCTGGCTCATCACTAATCAACCCTCCCAACAGTTTCTGTTGAACTAATCGCCCCCCTATATTGGACATTTGTTACTCAATGAAGGGGCCGGTGGAAGGCTGGTTAAACCGTTTGGTTTTCGACCACTACGACCCGGGTTCGATTCCAGCATTGGACACTTTTTTTCTGTTTAAAAAAAAAAAAAAGTGCTCCAATGGTCCCCGATTCTTGTAAAAGTCCAACCCCACCAGCGAGTGCAAGTAACCAAACGGGGCTCTGGCACATTTGTAAGTGCAAAGTCGAACTGCTTTACACATGTGTAGACATGTGGTGCGCTTACAGTAAAAGCAGTCGCTAACTACCCACCATGATTATCATGGCCTGTACCACGTGTACTAGGGATAAGCAAAAAGAAATAAAAATTACTCAAAGATTACTGAAATTTTAAAATAAAAATACTCAAGCACTACACACTGAGTGCAATATTCAACCCCACATCATTGACTGTAATTGGGTCATCCATTGAACTCGGCATCCCCAGCCACAAACATCATCTCAAGTTCTACAGGCTCGTTGATACCCTGATAGAATTGTCTTCTTCTTCTTTCTTATCTTCACACTGGGTGAAGTAGATTGCGTCTGCCTTTGTCATTAAGACTGGGAGTACTACTCAGTGGCAGGCCGACTTAGCTCCAAAAGAAATGGCCGCCTCTGACATGAGGAACAGACGTCATTTGCAGTGTGATAGAATTGTGTGTGATTGGAGATAAGAAAGAAAGAAGAAAAAAAAACTTTTCTCTGGACGATGTGTCTCATAAAAAACTATGAATGCCGGCCTGACAATGATACTGAAATTTTGTCCCTTTTTTATTAGAAAAAAAAAAAGGTAATAAGAACAAAACCAAATAAATATTTATTTAGATTTGGTCTTATTATCTTGTGTTTCTAATCTATAATCCAAATTGTGCTTTTTACCATATATATAAAAAATGATAATTTGTAAAACAAATTTAAGATTATGATAAAGTACAATTTGTATTATAGATTATAATGTTGTTGCTGAAACGTCGCACACTAATAAATTATTTGGATTAGGTCTTATTTTCTTTTATAAATTTTAGATTAAAAAAAAAAGGCATTCCCCCTAATTGTCAAACTGAGAGTTGCTGATGGCTTGCGCCATTGGAATAAATATAAACTATGCGTTGATTTTAATTATTAAGCATTTTGGACAAATACCATTTTTTATATACACCAATACCTCGCTTTGCGTCGTTTCGTTTTGCGTTTTTTTTAAAGTTTCGTTGCTGCTTAATTTTTACTGATTTTCACTGTGCGTCATTACATTTTCGAAGTTGCATTGTTTTGGATTCAAGTCTTTAATTTTTTTTAATTTTTTTTTCCTAAAATATGGCAACATCTTTGTTTTTGATTGCGCCTTCACATATTTTCACTTTGCGTCGTGTTTTTTTGGAACGTAACCCCTACGCAAAGCGAGGTATGGGTGTATCTAGAAAGACCAATTTTGATTTTGTCCTAATTTTTTTTTTTTCACATTAATAGAAGTGGCCTGGTGGACATGGCATCTGCCCGGTAAGCGGAACACTGTGGGTTCGATTCCCATATTTGTACACTTTTATTTTTCCGTTTATCATTACTCTTCACAATTCATCCTTTCATACTTCATCCCTAAGGTTAGAAATAATCGTTATTTCTCCTTAAAATAAATTTCGATTTTTCGTTCAAAAGAAACACATGCGGGATAATTTTCAAATGTCGTTCTACAATCATAAGCCGCATTATATTGTATTAATAGAAGTGTTTAACATTTTTGTTGCAGCTCTGAATATATCTTATGTTTAAATATATATTAGGAAATGAGGCAAGTGATGGTCACTAACAGATCAAATTGGAGAATATTTGTCCATATAGTCACCAAAAGTTGACTTGATGGTCACTAACAGATCAAATTGGAGAATATTTTTCCATATAGTCACCAAAAGTTAACTTGATGAACACTAACAGATCAAACTGGAGAATATTTGTCCATATAGTCACCAAAAGTTGACTTGATGAACACTAACAGATCAAACTGGAGAATATTTGTCCATATAGTCACCACAAGTCTACTCGATGGTCACCAACATATCAAACTGGAGAATATTTGTCCATATAGTCACCAAAAGTTGACTTGATGGTCACTAACAGATCAAACTGGAGAATATTTGTCCATATAGTCACCAAAAGTTGACTTGATGGTCACTAACAGATCGAATTGAAGAATGTTTGTCCATATAGTCACCAAAAGTTGACTTGATGGTCACTAACAGATCAAATTGGAGAATATTTGTCCATATAGTCACCACAAGTCTACTCGATGGTCACCAACATATCAAACTGGAGAATATTTGTCCATATAGTCACCAAAAGTTGACTTGATGGTCACTAACAGATCAAACTGGAGAATATTTGTCCATATAGTCACCAAAAGTTGACTTGATGGTCACTAACAGATCAAACTGGAGAATGTTTGTCCATATAGTCACCAAAAGTTGACTTGATGGTCACTAACAGATCAAATTGGAGAATATTTGTCCATATAGTCACCAAAAGTTGACTTGATGGTCACTAACAGATCAAATTGGAGAATATTTGTCCATATAGTCACCAAAAGTTGACTTGATGGTCACTAACAGATCAAATTGAAGAATATTTGTCCATATAGTCACCAAAAGTTGACTTGATGGTCACTAACAGATCAAATTGAAGAATGTTTGTCCATATAGTCACCAAAAGTTGACTTGATGGTCACTAACAGATCGAATTGAAGAATGTTTGTCCATATAGTCACCAAAAGTTGACTTGATGGTCACTAACAGATCAAATTGGAGAATATTTGTCCATATAGTCACCAAAAGTTGACTTGATGGTCACTAACAGATCGAATTGAAGAATGTTTGTCCATATAGTCACCAAAAGTTGACTTGATGGTCACTAACAGATCAAATTGGAGAATATTTGTCCATATAGTCACCAAAAGTTGACTTGATGGTCACTAACAGATCAAACTGGAAAATGTTTATCCATATAGTCACCAAAAGTTGACTTGATGAACACTAATAGATAAAATTGGAGAATATTTGTCCATATAGTCACCAAAAGTTGACTTGATGGTCACTAACAGATCAAACTGGAGAATATTTGTCCATATAGTCACCAAAAGTCGACTTGATGGACACCAACAGATCAAATTGGAGAATATTTGTCCATATAGTCACCAAAAGTTGACTTGATGGTCACTAACAGATCAAACTGGAAAATGTTTATCCATATAGTCACCAAAAGTTGACTTGATGAACACTAATAGATAAAATTGGAGAATATTTGTCCATATAGTCACCAAAAGTCGACTTGATGGTCACTAACAGATCAAACTGGAGAATATTTGTCCATATAGTTACCAAAAGTTGACTTGATGGACACTAACAGATCAAACTGGAGAATGTTTGTCCATATAGTCACCAAAAGTTGACTTGATGGTCACGAACAGATCAAACTGGAGAATATTTGTCCATATAGTCACCAAAAGTCGACTTGATGGACACCAACAGATCAAATTGGAGAATATTTGTCCATATAGTCACCAAAAGTTGACTTGATGGTCACTAACAGATCAAACTGGAGAATGTTTGTCCATATAGTCACCAAAAGTTGACTTGATGGACACTAACAGATCAAATTGGAGAATATTTGTCCATATAGTCACCAAAAGTTGACTTGATGGACACTAACAGATCAAATTGGAGAATATTTGTCCATATAGTCACCAAAAGTTGACTTGATGGTCACTAACAGATAAAAATGGAGAATATTTGTCCATATAGTCACCAAAAGTCTACTCGATGGTCACCAACATATCAAACTGGAGAATATTTGTCCATATAATCACCAAAAGTTGATTTGAAGGTCACCAACATATCAAACTGGAGAATATTTGTCCATATAGTCACCAAAAGTCTACTCGATGGTCACCAACATATCAAATTGGAGAATATTTGTCCATATAGTCACCAAAAGTCTACTTAATGGTCACTAACAGATCAAACTGGAGAATGCTTGTCCATATAGTCACCAAAAGTTGACTTGATGAACACTAACAGATAAAATTGGAGAATATTTGTCCATATAGCCACCAAAAGTTGACTTGATGGTCACTAACAGATCAAATTAGAGAATATTTGGCCATATAGTCACCAAAAGTCTACTTGATGGTCACCAACATATCAAACTGGAGAATATTTGTCCATATAGTCACCAAAAGTCTACTCGATGGTCACCAACATATCAAATTGGAGAAAATTTGTCCATATAGTCACCAAGAGTTAACTTGATGGTCACTTAAAGATCAAACTGGAGAATATTTGTCCATATAGTCACCAAAAGTTGACTTGATGGTCACTAACAGATCAAACGGGAGAATATTTGTCCATATAGTCACCAAAAGTTGACTTGATGGTCACTAACAGATCAAACTGGAGAATATTTGTCCATATAGTCACCAAAAGTTGACTTGATGGTCACTAACAGATCAAACTGGAGAATATTTGTCCATATAGTCACCAAAAGTTGACTTGATGAACACTAACAGATCAAACTGGAGAATATTTGTCCATATAGTCACCAAAAGTTGACTTGATGAACACTAACAGATCAAACTGGAGAATATTTGTCCATATAGTCACCAAAAGTTGACTTGATGAACACTAACAGATCAAACTGGAGAATATTTGTCCATATAGTCACCAAAAGTTGCTTTATGGTCACTAACAGATCAAACTGGAGAATATTTGTCCATATAGTCACCAAAAGTTGACTTGATGAACACTAACAGATCAAACTGGAGATTATTTGTCCATATAGTTACCAAAAGTTGACTTGATGGTCACTAACAGATCAAACTGGAGAATGTTTGTCCATATAGTCACCAAAAGTTGACTTGATGGTCACTAACAGATCAAACTGGAGAATGTTTGTCCATATAGTCACCAAAAGTTGACTTGATGGTCACTAACAGATCAAACTGGAGAATATTTGTCCATATAGTCACCAAAAGTTGACTTGATGGTCACTAACAGATCAAACTGGAGAATGTTTGTCCATATAGTCACCAAAAGTTGACTTGATGAACACTAACATATCAAATTGGAGAATATTTGTCCATATAGTCACCAAAAGTTAACTTGATGGACACTAACAGATCAAACTGGAGAATATTTGTCCATATAGTCGCCAAAAGTTGACTTGATGGTCACTAACAGATCAAACTGGAGAATGTTTGTCCATATAGTCACCAAAAGTTGACTTGATGGTCACCAACATATCAAATTGGAGAAAATTTGTCCATATAGTCACCAAAAGTTGACTTGATGGTCACTAACAGATCAAATTAGAGAATATTTGTCCATATAGTCACCAAAAGTCTACTTAATGGTCACTAACAGATCAAACTGGAGAATGTTTGTCCATATAGTCACCAAAAGTCGACTTGATGGTCACCAACAACCATTATTTTCCAATTTTGGAATAGGATAAACATAGGCAGTGGCCTCTGTGATTGAACATGTCAAAACTACTACATATTTGGGTTTAATCTTGGTATTTCTATCATACCTCATTGTATTTGTTTCAAGTTCTCAAATGTCTTGGTGAAAAAATACCAAACGGGAAAACAACCAGAAGATAAATGTGTCTTACCTTTCCTCTTTCATATTTTGAAAAACTTGAATTTCTTCCTGAATTCCATGATCTGTTTCCGCGAGGTGTATTATTATAATATGGGCTATTTCCTCGGGGAGAGTAGTTTGTGGATGATGGGCTATACGAATTTCTTGATGAATTAAATGAATTATCTTGATTATAATTCCCAGGTGAAGCAAACCGCCTTGATTTATTAAATGAATCGTCACTTCTTGGTGTTGATGATCTTGGACCTGAAAATCGTGGAGATTGCCAATTATTTTGTTGATTATATGGTGAATTTCCTCTATATGGTGAGGCACCTTGCCAATGATTACGCGGAGAGTTTTGGCGATGTGGTGTTCCGTGAAAATTGCCGCCTGATCTGTCGTAATTTGTGGGTGAATTAAACCTAGAATTATTCGGAGAAGGTCCTCTAAATGGTCTATTATAGTTACTCATTTTTTTTGCTTGGCAAATGGTCGAATTTTGATGTTTATATTTTTGGATGAAATTTATTGACTTTTATTAATTTATTGATTTTTTTTTTACCTAAACAGAAAAATATAAAAGCTTACCAATGTATTTGGACAATAATAATAAAATTTATAATAATTGAAAATGTATACAGTGAATTTTAATATTTAAAATTTAAAAAGCGCTCAGCAATTATTTGTTAATTTTTATTAAAAAAGTAAATAAAGAAGTAAATCATTTTTTACTTCTTTGATAGGGCGCTTGCGTTAGTTTGTAAACATACATCTGCTTTTCGATCAAAATTTAATCCGGGCAATATAAGATGGCTGAAAATGTTGAAGTTGACGAGTTTCTTAAAATTCTAATAAAACTTTCAGAAAAGGCCGCATATATTAGCAGAGAGTGCCGAGCAAGAAAGGAACTTTTCGAACTATTAGTTGAGGAAAAGTCAGAAATAGTCACAAACAGACGATGCTTCAAAGATTTCAAGACATTGGCAGATGTTTTGATTCAGGAAATGGTCCGACACGAACTAAGCGAAAAGGTAAATCTATATTTTTTAAACACAACACTTCAAAACTTTCTTTCTATATAAAAAACTACGTTTTATAGCACTTTACAATTTTTGCACTTTGCATATAAGAAATAATTACCTTAATATACATGATACAGGAAACCAAATGTTCTTTGCATATAATTCAAATTCATTTTAAATGTAAAATTCACAACTTCAAACATCCAAAATATTCAGCAATATCTTTGGGGTTTGAATAAAATTCAGATAAATTTATGCATTAAAAAAACACTAATATATATTTTTGAACATGTTATATGCGCAGCATAAATACACCTTAACTATACATAATCATTTGGAAATTTTAAGCTACACTAATAAATGATAAGGTCCAAAAGTATAGTTTCATGGTATATATATATATTAAATTATATTTATTGTTCTTTATAATTTTTTTTTTTTTTACTCTATGAAAGTTATATCTTTTAATAACTTGGAATGTTCAGTTTAGTAATTACTGCTTTATACTTTTGATGTTCTTCATCTTCTGCAGACCTTTTTGAGATGGAAGTTTGTAAC